CAATTAACTGAATTCATTAGATATTTAATCAATCGGCATTATTTGATTTACTGACCCATTGAACATGTAACTCCTAATTCCAGAATGCCCCGCCCTCATTCATGTATTCATGTTTAGGTGACCTTGCAAAGTAGCGTTACCCTTCTAAACTGTCTCTTCCGGAGCTTTAGGCCCCTGACGGATTTTATCATTTAACATGAGGGGAAGGGATTACTCCCAAGTTTGCCTCTCCCCCACAGCCGGGGTTGGAGGTTCTAAGCCCTAAAGCGCGACCCCATCTCTCAGTACTTGATGTCTGGTTGTTTATCTAGGTGTCCTTCCGAATAATAGCAATCATAGTAGTAGGACAGTAGTAAAATGCCAACAACAATAACAATCATAGTAATAGCAATAGTAGGGGTACAAGTAATAGTAACAGGCTAGTCCCGACCTGGTGCCGGGCGCATGGCTGCTTCTTGATAGCTGCGCACCAGGCGCAGGAACCGAGCCCCCTTTTAGTTTGCCGCGTGAAAAGGTAGTTTCCCTAAATAAGGGGCCCATAATGTAAACCCCAATGTATTCTAATTCTTATCATGGGGAACCCCAAACAGGGACCCCAATTCCGGGAAACCGCCAAAAAGAGGTGGAAGCTTTCTGTCTGCGGGCATCGCCCCTCCCGATAGCCGCCCCCTATCTTTCTATCCTGCCCTGCCCTGTAGAGAAGAAGCTCCTATGAGCTCCAAAGGGAGGAACATGTCAGGCGCCCCTGAGTGATGATTTCAGCCTGCAGAATCATACATGTGGTCCTGCATGTTCCCCGCACAGATAGTCTGCAAAAAAGACTTTGTGCAAACCTTCCATCCCAACTTGATCCTTCAAACTCTTCGGCAAGCCAGAAACCGCAAACGCATCAGCCAGTGTTGGCCGAGGCTGAGTAGTCAACTTGGCCAGCAGCAGCGCGATTTCGCAACTCTCCAATCCACATTGGCCGGGCCGCCCAGGAACGAAAGGTAGCGTGTGTATCTGCATCTCCAACACGTTTAGAACTTTTGCCCACAGCTTCTGGCATTTGTGGACTTCGCTTCCCGTGATCCTGTTCTTTGCTTCTCAGTACCTCCAGAATCCAGAACCACTGGTGCCGTTTGCGTCTCTTACCTTCAACCCTCACCTATCCGGGTCAATGCCTTGGCGCATTCCAGCACGCGTCCATAGGATCCGAGAGAAGCCTCGAGCACTGCTTGTTTCTTTGGATGAGTGCGGGGTAGATTCGGCTTCCATTACGGGGTTCGGAAGACGGCCGCTTTTCACTGAGGACCTGGTCAAAGAGCTGCGCAGCACTGCCCGCACTTGGCCTCGGCAGCATACAGGGGCTTCAACAGACCTTTCTTTGTTTGTCTTGAGCGAGCTTTTGTAGTTCGGAATGGAGACGGTGCTTTATATTGGTTTGGGAAAGATTTTTCCATGGTGAAACATGATGGATGATTTCTTAACCTTGCAGTTGCGTATATTAGTATATTAATCTCTACTAGTCTAGAGGATTAGTATCGTTTGTCTCAAGCTGTGATTCTTACGCGTCCTGACTGCTTCTTCAACTTTTACTTCTACTGATTTCTTTGCAACAGTCTCTCAGGGCCACACTGCCTTACAGCTCGACAGGCTAATAGCTCAGACCTCAAAGTTCTGTCCAGGCAGCACCGCCAGAAGTCGGAGTGGGTCTCCCAGATGTGGATTCAGGGTTTGGGGGAGAACCTGCGGGGATTCCAGATACAAAAAGAAAGGGAGGTTCAGCAGCTATGTATAGGAATATGAGGGGTCACATTGGGTTTGGTATAGGTCATCTAGACATTCTAGACCTTGCTTGATCTGAGGTTACCAGATTTCCGGTCACGATGTCTGTCGGACTTCAACTAGAGAAATTACTTTGCGTGGTGCTGTTGCACCCTACATTGTAGAGTTGACATCGAACTGAAGCCGGGTACTACTTTGCGCGGAGATGACTTCTGCAAACAGAAGAACCCTGTCCCTGAATGTACGTCAATCACCCGGATGACACTTCGAACAACTGTCTTGGCTGCTTGACATCAAATCGGTTGGGGTTGAGACGCTCCCACGCTTCTTTCTTCTGCGCACAAGGTTAGCAATGTCATGAATTCAAGCATGTTGAATCAAGATTTGAGCTTTGCAACAGCTGAGGGCACGGGAACCGGGGCTGCAGTAATTTCGCAGAGCTGCCCCATGCCTTGGTTTTTGCCACTGTTGAGCTTACTTACTGAAAATGCATCACCTAGAAGATTACCTCTGTCATCTTTGATGTGTTGATCGCCACATGAGCTGACCCCGAAGTCAGTTCGTAGGTTGAAGCGCCACTTACCTACCCTAGACACTATATTTAGCCTGTTGTAATTAGTCATACGAGACCTGGGCCTATATGATGTGTTCTGTGCATCCACGCCAGCCCCTTGCAGCCTCTCGGCTCAAAAAGTCCGCTTCAGAGTCCGCCATCCCCACTGTTGGCATGGGCGCGTGCGTAGGACGCGTTGTCAACTGAGGGAGTGTCTCAAAGAGCAGGGGCCATTTCTGGAAGTTCCTCATATCTGATAGACCTCTTGCTGGGGTTTGGGATGTGGAGGCTCAACGTCGCATGAAGCAGAGAGGGAAAAATGATGCTAGTGTCCGCATTTTGGGTTACGCGGGAAAAGTGGAATGTCTGTGCAGCCTCTAGCGGATTTGGAACAGGGAAGATCACGAGTTTTAATTCAGTCCTGTTGCCCCAAAATGCAATGATTCCGGACTAACATCCAAAGATGGCCAAGCACAGAAGCCTTGCTCAACGGTGTCACTGGCCCAACTACCGGCACTTCTTATGTTTTGCAAGGCATCATCGTGGTCCATGCTGAGATTTTTAGTAGTGGCCAAGGGAGTGACCAGCTATGTATGTGAGATTGGCAGGAGGCCGAAGTCAAGATAGGGTGAGAGTACCTTGAATCTTAGGGTTTAGGGCTAGGGGCTTTAAAGTGATGAGCCAAAAGACAGTCTAGGAGAATCATTCTCGAGGGCTGCCCTATCAAGTGGCAATATTGCATTGGCATTTCAAGCAGGGACCGGTCTTCCAACCAGGCTATGACTGTGATAGTTCATATTACGGTCATTGCTATTGACTGATATTAACCGTGATCTTCTCATTTCCTGGACATCCTCGCCATCATAGTCATTAGCCGTCTATCCCTTTGCGAGGAAAGCCGGACGTAATCCGAAACAGCGTGGTCGTGTCCGACAACGATCGGGGGCGACCGGTCGCTTCTGCCGAGGTCTTGGTCGAAGCTCGGCATTTTGCAGGGTACTAATGAGGGGTTCTCCAGAAAGACAAAGGCATGAAGCGCTCGAGGGACTGCGGAAGGCTTTATTATTGTTTGATTTGATGATTTTCGGGTGTTTAGGTGATCTCGTGCCAGTAGGATTTGTAATTTCAGCAAGAGAAGCTACATGGCAGTACTGTTCTGATCAACTAGCGCTCGCGGCAACGCACCCGACAACAGCGCAGTCATGTGGTTGAAGGTCACGCAAAATCAGTGATGCAAGGCCTACCCCCCATATAATATGTAGAGGGCATGTCGGCCAATATCAACTTAAGACCACCAATCTCAAGTTAATACCATGTTAGAGACGAGGTGCTTGCCATCAAGGCGGCATGTCTTTCCTTCGCCGGTTTTGTTCCTTCGCCGGTTTTGTTACCGCATCAGAATCTGCCTAGCGTTTGCAGACTGGTGCATAAGGCTAACACTAGGCCGCATATGCTTGGAAAGACTGCGGCCTGTCGTCTGGGTTGGTTACTACTGTACCGTGTTCCGAGGGAGCTTCCATCTTGCAGATATTATTAGAGTTGTAATTAGTCGGGTGTATCGAATTTTCACAGACTTCAGCTTCAGCAGCCTTAGGGCTGTGAGTAGTCCCAGGTGTACTTAAGAGAGACCCTCTCAAATGCAAAGTTCCAACACCCCAACAAAACCTGGCCTTGCAGTGCTTGTGATGGTGAGGGCGCCTTGAGATCCAATGAGGAAGATGGTGCCGAATCGAAGTTGATCAAGTTCAGGGAAGGTTTTCCTTACCCAGAGTTGACGTGCCGTTCCTTGTATGTGTGCTTGGCATTTTTGGTAAAGTGTCTACCAATACCTGTTGCGCACAAAGCCAGGAACTAAACCCACTGCTAAGCACGCCAATGAAGCAACAAGGAGCCAAAGACGACAAAGGGAGACACAGTGTCACTGGGCTGGCTTCTTCGGAAACTTGGTTACAGGGTTACAGAGCTTAGGGTGGCAGGGGTGTACTGGGAAAGGCAATCAGGTGTGGGGAGATTTGTTGGATGCCAGTAGCTCTTGCCATCCTCATGTAGCTGCATTTGTTCCATTTGTTTTTGTCATAGCCATCATCCTTGAAGTCAGGTCAAGAAGCAAGTTCATCATCAGCCATCCCGGTGATGTACAGGATTCTTGGCTCGCCTGACCAGAAGCCTTCTGTGCTACTTTGCTTCCCTATACGCCGCTTTGCAATTGTCCATGCAACTCAGGATACATATACCCTGCAAGCGAATAAAATTGGGGAAGGCACCTATGGCTCCGTCGCCATCGGCGTGCACAATAGCACCTGGAAGCTCAAAGAAGTTGCTTAAACTTGCCACCTTTTAATAGAGAAGGAAGCGGGTTGTGAGAGTTATGGGGTTATCAACTGTCAAAGGGAATTGTGCAGCATGACCATGCAGAACCACGGATAACGTGCACACAGCTCCTCCAGAAAAGTCGGGGCCGAACCTAAACCCGGCACCCTGTAGCGTCGGAAGGCTCCAAGTCTCCAGGGGCTCTTCAGACCGAACGCGAATATGAAGGGTTCACAGGGCCGTTCTGGGGGTGTGGTGGGGTGGGGACAGATATTGTGATGATAGGATCCTGTAAGGTACTCCCCCTTGTAATTGTCCTAGAAAGTCGTTTACCTTTCTAGGCACACATCAGCAGCGCGCCATCAAGACGATGTCCAAAGCCAATATGCGGCTGGGCCTGTCAAGCTCAAGGGAGTACATGTACGAAGGAATCACATGTGCAAAGGACCTGATAGGATTAATTTTCAGTGTGCTAGCCTCAATGAAATTGTGGCCTCATTTAGGTGGGATGAGCTGCAAGCCTTCCTGATTGGCTTCTTATGAGCCAGGGTAGATGGCATGTTCTACGCACTTTCATAGCTGCGTGGCATGTAATACTCAGACTGAGGCCTCAACTGGGCAACAGACATGAGACACTTGCAGCAACATCACGAGTCGTCATCAGGACGGCATGCCTAAGCCAATAACTGAATTGTGGCTGGTTGTGAGATTCCGACCTGGGCATCTTGGATCACCAAGCTGTCGTTTGCAACAACGTTGCTTTGCGGTAGTTTCTATGCAGGGGTCTGACACCGCTCTTTGGGGTAGACGGGTAGCATGTGTTCCAGGTCATATCACTCTTACATGGAATCTGGATTTGGCGTTCGTTACACAGTCTTTGGGCCATCATGGGCGGCGGCCCCTCGCACGAGGATGGTCCAGCTGTTTTGGTGCCTATTCAATTCAATTTCGACGGCCTGCCTCGCATGCAGGACCAGTTTGGCAAGCTGTTAAGCCAGACATCTGCCAGTCCTCCTCGAGTTTCTGATGTAGCTCTCCTTAATCGGTGTGATGTGATGGGTAAGCTGCTGCGGGATGTGCGGAGTGACATTCTCCTTAGCTTCGCTGATTGGAACACCTTCTTCGGCGGTAGCAAGAAGCACGCGGAGCGGCATGCGATTATTGGCCAGCTCTTTGCTTTGCTCACGGGTGTGGTCTGCCTTCCCGAGCCTCCTGCCAGCCCAGATGCCTTAGGCAGCGACTGGTGTAACATGCTAGAGTCCAAATACAACGCTTCAAATCTGGTAATGCAGCGGGGCAGCGGCTGCATCGAGGCTTTGGGAGAAATATCTGTGAGCCTCTGCAGCAGTGCGCAGGGAGACCGGACCTTCGCAGAAAAGCTAAAGAGTACTATGGACAGCTTCCTTGTCTTCCTCAGCGAGCAGCCAGACAAGATGGTAGACGTCTTGGTTTATGATATTGAGGAGAATAGCCCGGAATATGATGCAATTCGGGCGGCCATGCACAGGCGTACAGATTTGGTGGTTGCAGCCACCCTACTTCAGGAAAGCGGTCGGGCTTTTGTATCCCAGAAGGTCAACGGCATCTGTCGCGCCCCATCCTTGGTACGTCCGGTGGGCTTTCCTGATCCAAAGACTACCACCAAAGCTTCCGCGGAAGAGCAGCGTAAGCTGGAGTCTCTCATTGAGCAGGGCCCGGACCTGTTTTGGGAGGTGCACGGGACCCCATCTCACGATGACATGGGCACTTGGGTGACGCACAACAGCACCCGCTATTGGTGCAAAGTGCAGCTTCCCGTCTCTGTGTATTATGTAGGCCCGACTAGTTGACACCTCAGTCTAGTTAAGTTAAGCACTCCATGGTCAAAATGCCATGGGTTCTCAGAAGCAGCCTTGCCAAATTGGAGGCTTCTCAATTCAAATAGGAGGCTTCTACGTTATAATCCATCTTGAGCCTCCCCCGCAAGGATTCCTGGAGAATCTCTAGCTTCTTTGACAGAGACTACCCACGTGATCCGCAGATAAGCGGCCATTGACAAAAGGACCACGCAGCTGTTTGATCCGCTGTAATGCAGCATCAAGGGAGCATAACGTGGATTTGGCCTTAGGCATGCCAGTGGTGCTTCGGTGATGTCTCAATAGTGTTGCAATTGTTGCTGCGTTAAGTCTGTGCGGCATGCATCCAGTGACAGTTGTGAAACTGATGGCTTGCACTTGGAGATTCTATCATGCTAGCGGGAGCAGAGTGGTAGTATGACCCAAGCCCCTGCAATCTCTGCCGTTGGCCAAGGAAGCATGTGGTCCGCTTCCAACAGGAGATTCAGATCATGAAGACTATGGATCCTCAGCGTGGAAGAGGGGTCGCGGTGGCTGTTATGGTGAAAGTTATGCTGCCGGTTAAGGGGATATTCTTGTCCGATACTTCAGTGTCCTCAAGGACTATATGGTAGTGACTAGGGCCATTCAAGACTTTGTGCGCCACCTGCGGTTAGCGTGCTACAGCTGAGGATCATCCCAACATCATCAAGCTTTATGAGACCTTCGAGGTGCGGTGCGCAGAGTGCAAAGGTGTGGCTGCTGCCAAAGAAGAGTATTTAGCGTTTAGGGTTCAGGGGTTTAGGGGTTTAGGGTAGCCACATACACAGCGCCCGGGAAACTGCCCAAACACAGTTTAAAGTTGGAACAGCCCAAGTCTGGCAACTCAATCATTGGTCTTGCAACGGCGCAACGGGTTTGCACAGCCTTTCCATGACAGCACTTCCTGATAGAATGGTTCAGTTTTGCGTTAACCCCACAGCGAAGAAGCTATGCTGCCGGGAAGAATCTCCACTCAGCACTCCACGAACAAGGCTTGAACGAGAACCTTGCGTATAGAGAGTCTGGAAACGGAGATTCTGGGTCTTACTGGTGCTTACTTAAGGGGGAGCGGGGCGGTGAATATGGGTACTACTATAGGGGTATGTAGAAATGGGATTATATAGGGATTGTTGATTTGTAAGATATTGTAAGGGTCCACTCCTTCACTTCCTTGACAGTCAATGACGGTCAGGGGTCTTGCCCACAGCCACGCTGCATACTCAAATGGTAGTTTCCATAAATAGGGGGACACCAACATCCCCTAAACATTATAACTTTTATGTTTTGTAAGTACCTCTCAAAAGGGACCCCCGAATTTCTGGAACCCCTCTCACATGTTGTATTTTTTGCAGCCTGGGATGGTAGTTAGGCGTGCGCATCATCAAATCGTTTTTGAAGTGGTCTTTGCATGGTGAGGACCGGAAGCACATCTACTTGGCCATGGAGCTGTGTACCGGTGGCGAACTTTTCGATCGAATCATTGAGGCTGGCCACTCTCTTTGGGTACATGTGCTCGTTTCAGGCATTGCTGTTGCAGAAGGCTAGAGATGAGAACGTATGCCTACTATGTCTGCTCCAGGTGGGCCAGTTCACTGAAAAGGACGCTGCCATAGTCGTGCAGCAGATGCTCTCAGCAGTGGCTGGACTGGTGTTGGGTAAGTACCTCACCATCAGCACCATGAATTAACCCATCCAAGCCAGTGCTGCCACGAGCAGGCACTCGTAGATCGATACTCTAAAGCTCTGCCACTGAGCTTTCATGGGGGAACGTCAAGGGTCAAACGAAGGCGTCGGAACCGGTACGAAACAACCATCTTAGGGTCCCAGCAGGAAGTTTCTCGGCTGTGGAGATTCCAGGGTGGAGGCATGTCAGAGAGTCGCAATCATCAATCTTGCTCAAGTCTTCCGAAGCCCTATGCCCTATGCCCTATGCGCATCAGCTGAAGGTCTTCTACATGCATACCCGGGGTGTTTGCCATCGAGACCTGAAGCCGGAGAATTTCCTCTTCTTGTCGAAAGGCACCGTGGACCAGGGGCTCAGGGCATGGAGAAGTTGGTACACCCTTGCTACAGAGTCGGGCGTGGCCCCTCTAGCGTCTGTCATTTGCCTGCACAGATTGTTGGTCCCAGGCCCAATTGAGAACACACTGCTGAAGATTATCGACTTTGGCCTGTCCAAGTGCTTTGACACAAGCATTCCGATGGCCACCAAAGCAGGGACGCCATACTATGCAGCCTGTCATCACCAGCTTGCTCATGACTTGGGTTTCTCATTATTATCACGAATACCCTGCCATTTCGAAACTAAGGTGGCTCCCCAGGTGCTACAGGGCAAGTATGACAACTCCTGCGATCTCTGGAGTTGTGGGGTGATCATGTACACCATGCCCTTTGTCTCAAATGGGACCTTCCAGCAGAGCTTGCACTTTGCAAGCCTGAGCATGCTCTTCCAAGCTGATGCTCCATGGCAACTCAGCTAGGCAATGGTTCTTGAGCATGCGTCCCTCACGGCGATACAGTGTTAGGGCCAGCCGCTAGGGACAAGACGACACCCCCAACGTGATTGCTGCAAAGCTGTCAGAGACAAAGCTCACTTTCACCCTCCAATGCATCAGGCTTTGTGGGTATCCTCCTTTCTACGGCAAGACTGACCAGGAGGTGCTGAGCAAGGCCAGGATGACCATGAGCAGGGGAGGGCTTCAAGAACAGCTCATGCCTTTCCTGGCCCTGCGAGGTACGAAAAGGTGTGTACCAGTTCGAGCCAAAGTACTGGAGACACATTTCTCAGGATGCAAAGAAGCTCATTGGCAGCTTGGCTTCGTGACAGGCCAACAGGCCACTGGTTTAGTTAGTGATAGTAATTAATAATAACATCAATGAGAATAGTTATAGTAGTAGTTAGTAGTACTACTGATGATAATTTTGGGGTTAGGGTTTAGCGGGGGGCCTCCTTGTGGTGGCACCATGACAATGCAGTGTAATTTCGGGATCATATTTCACAGGCCATATCATGTCACTAAATATCACTGTTGTAGAAGCGGAAGTTGCTCTTCTCAGTGCTGCTGCCCCCGAAGTCACAAACCCGGGGCTTTCTGGTAGCTCAGGGTGGGCCCATGCCTTCATAAGGCAGTGGTGGGAAAAATTATGCATAGTATGCAAGAGTTGTGGGCTCCGTGCTGCATGCATGGCCGGATGTATGACCTGATGGTGTGCTTAGGGATGCTCCTCAAGTTCGAGCCAGAGTCGCGCTACACTGCCGAGGAGGCATTGCAGGCGGGGAGAGGCTTGGTTCTTTGGGTGCTTCCCTTCCTCAACGCAACAACGTCTCGCATTATTCAATCACATCAAAGGCCCTTCATCCCCTTGTAGTCTTTACATGGTGCTAGGGTCCGCAAGGGCCCCAATCTTGAAAAGCTATATCTGGGAGTCATGCGTCGGGATGCCTGGGCCAAATCACTTGGTCAGACGCCGGTTGTAACAGACAAGGCAAGAAAGATGTATTGTATACCTCCTCATGTGTAGGACCCGTGGCCTCTCAGGTAGCCTTGACCCACCGCACCTCCTTTCGCCTCTCAACCAGGACGTCTGGATCAAGGAGCGAGCGCCCAAAGCCGAGAACATCTGTCTTCAGGCCTGGAGGGCTTCCAGTCTTTGCTCGCCGTGCTGCCTGGGACTGTTGCATCGTTTGGCAATGGCAGCGCCAATTCAGAAGCCACTGCACGGCTGCCCTTTGCTGCAGGATCGTATTATGCACAACCTCAAGAGCTTCAGGCCTGGCCGGGAGCTAGAGATAGTCACAGCCATTTTTTAGCACTGCATGTAGCAATTCCTGTAGCTCTGTTGTTTATTCGGGTTTCGGGTATGGACGAGATTCACTGTTGAAGGATGGGCGCAGCTCAGGCCCACGAGGCATGTAACCACCGAGGACATCGAAAAACTAGACCCAACAAGGAATGGAATTAGCATCAGGTCAATCTCTAGTTGAAGTTAATCTTAAATCTGATGAAGATGGATGATACCGGCTAAGATGGAATTAGAAGTCGATGAGCGGTTTAATTAAAGTCAACGATTTCAAGCAGAGTCGTTTACATGAAAGAACCCCCTTGTGCGTTGTTACGGCAATCCCAAGTGGCCGCTTTCGAAAGTGCTCTTCAAGGATGTCGTTTCTCTGGGATGTTTTTGTCTTAGGAGGGGGGAAGGGTGATCCCCTGAATATCCCCTATAGTAGTCCCCTATGTAGTCGTTACCCCTTGAAGGTTTTGGATGAGCGCTCATACGGAGAAGGGCTTACACGCCAGGTCAAAGAACAAGCTCAAGAAAGCGGCCCTCAATATTATCGCCTCGCAGATGAGCGAAGCCGAGATCGCGGACCTGCGGGTGCCTTGACCTGGTGACCCTCAGTGGGTTCAGGGATATTTAGGGATTAGGGTTTAGGGTTTAGGGTTTGGGATCAGGGTTTTGGGTTTTGTTTTTTTCATGGCAGCTTGGAAGCTTCGCAATCAAGTGTGAGGGCCAGGCCTCATACGATGCAGAGTCGACACGGTGTCAAGCCAATTGGAGTAGGGGATGTTTTTGGATTGGTACAATGCAATATAGGGATATTATCGCCACAAACTAAAATGAAAAAGGAAACGGAAGCTGGGGTTATATACGGGTTTATAAAGTTGTTCGTGAGATGCTTGCCAGGAGATATTTAAAGCTCTCGACGTGAACGGTGACGGCGCCTAGCTCAGATTGGCCAGTAAGCAGGTATCATCGCAGATACAAAGCGAGGAGTCATCTCTGATGCGAGTGACCCCTGAGGCTTTTTGACCACGACGGAGCTGAAAGATGGTTACTTGCCCAGGTTTACAGGATGTGTTCTGGAAGTATGTCTTGCACAATGCGTAGCTAAACGCGTTTTGGCATGCAAATCACCTGCTCAAACAGTATGTGGCTTGTTTTCGCGCTTGTGCAGCTGAGGTATTACGCGGGCGCGGGTGCGGAGCCCAACAATTGACCTGCAGGCAAGAGTCATCCAGGTTAAGGGTTTCACCACTGCTGAGGATGCCCCGGCACAAAAAGCCAACCTCCTGCGGACCGAACCCTGAATGAAACTCGAAACCTTTCAACGGCCTTGCAACATTGACACTGTACAGTGGCCTTTACCCTGCTCAAGCTGATCTGTTTCACAGGGTCCTCAATGGTTCGGAAGTGGTTGCCTGAGCTTGCGTATTGCCTGACCTCCACGCATGGAGGCCATAATGGAGGGCGTCGATGCTGACGGCAGTGGACTCATCGACTCTCAGCGAAAAAAGGGGGGCAAGTTTGGGCAAGCATGGCAAGAGCAGTGATCCCTGGACTTCGAAACTGCTGAGATTTGCCCCTGTGGAGAGGGTTTGTGGAAGCTTTAAGGACTACACGGAGTTCTTGGCCGCGACTCTGGACAAGAAGGTTTACCTCCAGAGGGATGCTGCTGGGCTTCAAAGTGTCCCTCCAGACTCTTTCAGGATCGTTCAGGATCCTGTTCTGGTCACATCTTGCCGTCAGAGGGGGAGCACGCGTGAGCAGGACACTAAAGTTGAAAGATCAAGATTTGTCGCTAGCGCTAGTTCGTGTTTTCCTCGATGCGGCGGGTGCAAGCTGTACTCTGGTCCTATGCTGGAACTCGACGCCAATCTCTGACAATTCACCTTTGACCATGTAGGTCCTCTCTGTGTCCGCTAGCAAATAGAGATTCTCGACAGCCAGCAGTCCAACTCTCGAATAGCAAGCTTGGATCTGCTCAAGGATAAGGATGCCTGAAAAGGGCCCTCTGCTCTCTAAGCTCGGCTTGCCTGTTGGAGGGTCAGGGGGACTTCATAAGTAGGTTATTAATAGGGATAACTATGGTTACTATATGGGCTAATAGGGGTTATTAACTTACTTACGAAGTCCTCCTGACCCTCCAAGTACCCTGCCCCGATAGCAGGGTTAGGCCTCGGGCCTTGGGCGTTCCAAGCTCCATGACTCTGCATCCATCAGCCTTTAGTTGTGCTTCTGGCTGCCAAGGGGATGACTTCTGAACTTCTGAGAGTTGGAAGTGGCCTACCCAAAAATCTCAAAACATCTCGAAGACAAGTATGCCAAAGGTTTGTTTCGCTGCCTTCTCTGTGTTCGATCGAGATGGTGATGGATGCATTACCCTCGAGGAGCTGATTCCTGACGTGTTCTATGTGGGGTTGGCTAGTGGCACCAGTTTTCTCACGCATCATTCTCTCCACATCTTGTGTTCTAGTCTCAGGCTGTTGGGTAGGAGTTGAAAGCACCAACCTGTCAAATGCAGAGATACTGTGTTTCATGACAGAGCCAGAAACGGAAGAGCTCCAAGGTCTAACGTCAAGCTCAGAGTTGCCTTTTCAGGCTATTGTAATGTTCCGCTGAATATCTGGCACAGAAGCAGCCACAGAAGCAGCCACAAGCTTAGGAAGCAGATCCTGGAAAATGGGTCTGTCGAGGTTGCCTGTCTGCAACGCAGACTGCCTTGTGGTTCGAGTTTAGTGACCCCAACAAAAACCTTAATTGAAGCGCATCCATGGGAATCATCTATTGTTGAGTCAGAGAGATTTGGAAACTGCTGAGGATTTCTCTAGCTTGAAAAGGTCTGCTGCCACCCACCCTTGCCAGCACATGTTCGCAGACTACATGAGCTATAGTCTAAACTCCTTAAAGGGGGTTTATATAGGGATTCCCTGGTGGTATTATAGGGGTTATTAAGGGGGATACTAGGAGTTCAGACAATGGCTCACCTCGAAATGCAGGCAGGTGACGAAGACATGCCATGCCAGCTTTTCCAATGGCCAGGAAGTGATTGACACATGGACATCTGAAGAGCTGCTCCAGGATCCGTTTATTGGAACATGGGAGACCCTCGTGCTTGGCATACTGCAAGTCTAGCTTGAAACACAAATGTGAAGCCAATCGAGCCACCCATTTTGGGCCCAAGGACTGTAGGGATGTGCTGGTCAGCAAGCCAAATTCCGACAATGCTTGCGGTCGCGCGGTCTTGTTTTTCAATGGTTGTCGAACTTTGCTACAATTGGATAGTATGATATTGTTGTACTATTTCTGTAATTATTGTTTTTCTTATGATTAATCTTATCATTATGTTACTATCATATGTATGATGAAGGGCATGACTTCTTAAGGTTGTTGTCTTGGTGTCTGTGGCAGGGCCATCTTTCCTAGCCTGGAGGATGTGGACCGAAACGGTGACGGCTCCATAGACTTCGAAGAGTTTATGGAAGCTTGGCCCTGATCTCACGCCGGTACCTGCTCGCATGCGAGTACCAATTAAGCTGTATCGGGCAAACTGCATACCAAACCCTTAATTATAACGGAGTGCGCAGACTGACCCAACTTCAGCTGGAAACAAAACTGACGTATCCAAGCTTGGGGCCCACTGACAGCTCATGGGATGGTGTCGAAGCTTCTGGCTAAACTGTGTTGTCGATTTGCTTTGCTTGAGGGAGCAGGGCAGGTTCTTCGGCATCTTAGCCGCACGGGCCCAACTGCACTGACAATCTGCCATGTGCCCAGGAGATGATGCGGGGAGGGAGATCGATGTCGCTGTCCATGGAGACCGAAACGCCAAAGGCGCGGAAGTAAAACGGTTTGCAATGGCCTAGAGGGTTCATGAGCTTGAGGACTCTTTTGGGTACACCCTGGGAATACATTGGAATAATCATGATTTTCCCGTCATCATGTATGGGTGGCCCGTTCGTGAATAAATTTGGGAGCTCTCAAGCGCCACCCAGATTTTGTGTGGCCGATGTTGCGACCATCATGAAGAGGGTCATTCCCAGAAAAGTAGTAGCTCTTTGCTACAACCTGTTTCTCAACATTCGCATCGTTATGCCTTAGAATTTCTGCTGGGGTTTGAAAAGGCCGCGCGCGTCCGTATGGTCGCTGCAAGGGAGGGGAGGGCGGGGGCAAGGGGTTGACCTGTTCGTTCGAGCCCACAGGGGGGGAACAGCTAGCTACTGCGCGTTCTTGCTACGCTGCTGCAGAATGTCCAGGGCGGCCGCTCGCCCAGCCTCCTTCGGTCCCGGAGCCGCGGCAGCCGAACTCCGCGGAAGAAGATTTGATACAGGTGCCTACAAGAGATCACCGGTACTGTAGTAAAATTCTGGTAGTAATAATGATAGTAGTTGCGGTGGCAGTCGTGGTCAGCGTAGTTGAGCAGTAGTGGGATATAGTATAGCATACTTTGGTCTTCTACGACTACTACTACTACTACCACCACTACTACTACTACTACTACTACTTCTGCTACTACTACTACTACTTCTTCTGCTACTACTACTACTACTACTACTACTAACTACTAACTACTAACTACTAACTACTAACTACTACTACTGCTACTACTACTGCTACTGCTGCAACTCCTCCTGCTGCTGTTGCTGTGACGACGACTAGTACTGCCACTTGTTCTTCTTGTTTGAGTAGTGGGAGTGGCAACGGTCGAAGCAGTAGCAGTCTCCTCCTCGTACTCGTAGCTATATTGATAGCGCTACAGCTTTTTGCCTCAGTTTTTGCGAGCCAAGGTGGAGAACGCGAATTTAAAGCAGTGTGTAGTGGGGGTAGTCAGAGAATATGAAGTATCCGTGGCAGTTGCCATTTGGACGAAGAATGCACTTGGTAATACGGAGCTTTTCAGAGCTGTCACAAGATTTCTCCAAGAGGTCGGGGAAGTTTTTGGGGATCTCCTGACACGTTGTCTTCGACGGGGCATTACAGCCGGAGGATGACCGAGACGCCGGCGGCCTGCGGGTTCTCCTTCGAAGAAGGGCCCTTCTGAGCTCCGCGCTGTGGCCGCACTAAAAGACTATAAGGCCGTTGCTTCAGGCGTCTCCCCTACATGTGCCTCAATCATCCGGGTTCTCTTGAGGATACATTCAACGAGAGAGCTTTCGCTCTGATCTAAATGCGCAGCTTTTCACAGACATAGTCCTGCCAAACCAGCACCTGTTCAGTGTGTCCCGACTCATACATGTCGGCCATGCAGCTGTGCTCTCTCCGAGGGGACGTCCCCCCCGCGAAGCCCGGAAAGTAGGGCAGAAGGCTGGCACAGCCTGGTCCTCAGAGCTTTGACAGGGCTGAAGAGCTTGCAAAGTTTTGTATCTAGCTTACGGTTGGATTGCATTTTTGCGTAATGAGCCACGTTTTGTGCAGACAAGCCTGCCATGAGCAGCAACCCACTAGCTGCCCTGCCGCTGGGATTCCCTGCAACAAGAATCATGGAATCCTGCTGCCCCTGGCCTGCCAAAACGAACTTTCGAACTTTGACTTCACCAAACATCGTAAGAAAGCCACGACCGCTGCAAGCCGCCAAGGAGACTAGCTTTCACCCACTGAATCTTGTACAGATGCCCTTAGAGTCCAAGCCTTCTGGAGAAAAGTCATTCATGTCAAGCAAATGCGGTTTAGGCAGCGGGCTTCTGGATCTTAACTTTTGCAGAGCCTTAGGGAAAAATTGAATCTTGTAAGCAACATCGAGAACCTCGGATCCTTAAGTGACGAACCTGAACAATCACGGGCGTGCCTGCCAGCTCTTCACTCCTTGCCCAGACCTTCAACATAATCAAGGGAACCATAGCGCAGCCCAAGTCCATTTCCTACAGTACCCCTGCCCCGTGCCATGCAACTGGCAGAATCGTCAGATCAGACGAAGACATGGGCTCGGAAGCTCAAGGATGTCCACTTCTGACCGCCCATGGGAGGGGCTGCCATACGAGCATGTAGGTTCCTACATGTATGTTAAAAGGTCGTGAACATTCGTGATAGGTGCTGTCCTACCAGCAGTAGCAGGAGAAGCTCAGCACAGCACTGGGTTTTCCTGCGTTGTCATCAGCAATCCCGAAGTCTACATTACAACTTGACAGCGCGGTATATTGTAGGATGCTGTGTCGCTTGCAACACGCCCCAAAGCATGCTTGAGTTAGAACACCTCCTACCCTGGGTTGGCCTTCGCTAATTCAGCATTGCATACAAGAGCCGATTTAGGCTGTCTCGTCGTGAAGCCTTGCTGCTTCAGGAACACCTCTTGTTAGATGGATTTTGAAGTTGGCTTGCGCTAGGTGTCAACCTTGGGCCGAGCGCTGATTCTGCGACATAACTAGGATGGGTCTAGGATGCAAGCATCATATGCTAGGGCTGCTAGGGCGCGTAGATGGGTGTAATTGAATACTTGCAGCAGGTTTTGAGACCACTGTAATATATAATCGAGTGCCAGACGCCAGCGCTCCTCAACATGCTTCCGCAGCCGCAAAGCCCGCATGGTATGTGTGAACATGTGTGAAGTTATTAGGCGACTAGTAGCCCTGTCGCAGCAAGCAAACTGCAACGTGCAATCTGAGTCCGACGTCGGCTAGGATAAGCCGAAAGTACGCAGTGCAGAAGACATCAGGAACGCTGCCAGAGTGCAACGACAGTGCACTCTTGTTGCCACTTGTGCAGCCAATGCTACCGTAGGAAATCATTCTGAATGCCGTGGCGGCTCAGCATCAGCATAACGTTGGAAGTTAAACATGAATGCGCTTCAGCTTGTCCTGGCCATTCGGGGGGCTGATGGTCCAGGTTCACAACGCTTAAGGATAGTTTTTTTACATGAAGGCCCAAGCTACGCGGTTGAGAGCTAACAGGTGGTTAGGGGCTTTCATCTTAGGCACATATCGCGGCTTCCTGAGACCTGCAATGTCACCGAGCAAGTAAACTTTCTTTTAGTTTGGGGTATGAGTTAAGGAGGACAAAAAAAAACATTTGTGCATCAAGAAGGCAGCTTCGCCCACCTTCCAGGGCAGGTGAACCTCTGTAAAGCTAAATCTCAGCTTGAAGATCCACAGCAGGCTTAGCTGTCAGCTAAGAGAAAGGTGTGAAGCCCCGCATGCGCAGAAGCGTTTCTTGGACCATTAGTTCCCAAAAATGCAAGTCTATAGCCTTTGTGGCCTCAAAGAGGCTGCAGGGAGCATCACAGTCTGCACAGGCCCTGCATAGCGGCAAGAGGAAAGCCTTAGACTGAAAAGACCTAATTACAGAAAACATTACGGCTCTAGGCGCTTTAAAGGGTTCTGTAAGTCAGAGGAGGTTGAAGCTCTACCAGATTCTGTCATCTGCGAATCCTGCATGTTTGTGTGCATCCAAGTAACATGTGAAGGCCATGCGAGTGCAAGACCCACCACGTTTGGACACGACGTCGGACACTTGCCAAGGCTTCCTTCTCAGGCACCCTGACTTTTCTTAGCAGCTAGACGCTAGAAACCCAGACCGTCAATCCCGCATCCAGGGCTGGATGTTCGCTTGGAACGTATCGCTTGCATGCTTGTTCCAGTGGTAACTTCTAGAGGTGGGACCGGTATCATTTTGGGTTCATGTATTGATCATACCCACCATACCGGATTCAATGTGGACCAATCCCCTGTCCTCCGTGAACATGTTCAGAACTGGCCTTTGGTAGCCTTGGCATTGCTGGATATCTCTGGAACCCAAGCATTCTCCCTGCACAAGTTGGGCATGGCTTGCGATCCGGAGGGTTACAGCATGCAGCTGTCGGCAAGGAGAAGGGACTGTTGGTTTTTGGTGAGCCCAGAGGGTATGTTATGTTTGGCTTTCGTGGCGTGCGTGGGTCGGCTTAGTTGTGCGTCTGTGAAGAGTTGATTAAAGCCACGTAGTACTCAGCCTGATGTGTACTTATGCCCATGACACGATCCAAAGCAAAGTTTGACTTTCCTTTTCACGGTCACGCCTCTCACCGCCACAGCTGTTCGTTCAGGGCCGAGTATGGACAAGAGTAGCTGTGGCTTTGTATCTTAAAATGGGCTGGTGCAAGCACTCTCAGACCTCTTATCCCTTATCCTTGGACCGCGCCACCTCAAAGGAATGGAGAGGTGCGATTTGCAGCTTGCGCATCTGCTTTTCGGTTAAGACCAGGAGCTTTGGATGAGGGATCCTGGTGGAGCATGAATGACAGTGGAAGGCCTTGTACCGCACGCCAGCTCATCGGCAAACCTCACTCTTATTACTGTAGATGGTAAGGAAGCTCCACCTCTGCCATCCATAGATGCCCCTGACCGGCTTGATGCGCTCTTTGCGGGCCGCCCGCTGAAGCGGAGTTGGAGTGAAAGCATCCAGAACATGGCCCTCAAGTTTTCAACGTTGACATAGATGGCAAGAGAGTGGCAGCCGACACGGTGGCTATGTGAGCATGCCCAGACTACGGTACTCTGAGACGCTCGAGCTCTCAGTGAGCTCTAGTGTCAGCTACATCTAGCATTTGTATGTACCAGATCTGGGTGTTCCCCTGTGTTCGGCTGCCGCGCAAATTCGGGAGCCCGCATTGCTAAGAGTAATCATTGGGCCCACGTGTGAAGGGCGAGCATCTTCGACAGGGCCTCCCTTCCAAGAGAGCACAGTTTCTATGAGTGCCGAACTATAGTGGTTGAATGTAGCCTGCTGCGCTGGCTCCTTTTGTGGCCCAGGTCCTAGGTATCTGGAGCATGGTTCGTATAGGTGCCCTGTGCAGGGGCACGAAGCATGGCATGCGCGTTATCTGCACGGTACAAAAGGCGTGGTGCCGATGACATGGCTTATCGCAGCACAAGCATGCAATAGTATCCAATGCCGAAGGCCCCGAATCTCATCCAGCATCGTCCATGTCAAGGGGCGGGACGCCTGTTTGGGGAGTCCGTTCTAACTGCAGGAGTGCATGCTTTTTGTTCAAGTGTGCGCCACACTCACAAGCCATGTTGTTGATGGATGATTGCAGACGGGAGGGTTTTAGTGCACTTCTGCCCTTTGGCAGCTAGGCACCTTGTAACGCAGAGCGGTTTATGAATTTGCGATTACTTGTTATCGATACTACGATTACTGTTATTTCCACTCTTACCATCATTACCATTGTTCCTATTATTACCGCAATTACTATATTGTTTAATATTTAAAGCAGGATTACTGGCAAGGCGTGCGGCGTGTCTCAGCTATCCTTGACTTATGCCCGATGAAGTCTGCCGCTTTCCTCTGGGCAATTTCTCACCCGACCTCACCCTAAATGGTGGCTGATATAGGGAGTAGTACCAACATGCCTTGAATTGGGAAACATTATTCTAAATTACCCTGTTTAATACATGGACCTATGCCGGTTTAGGGTTTAGCCATATGGTTCTAATCATCTTGTCGCCCCTAAAGGGCCCAGCTTCCATGTAATGTTCTGTTTTCTTTTGCATGGACTCATTAGGAATTTATACCCCTAAACAACCCTAGACAACCCCTATGAAGCCGCATATCTATACATGTGTATATATATATATACGCCATGTATCCTATACACCCTAAACCCTAAACCCCTATATACTCTCTATAACTATATATTGCCGGAAACGCTGGCTCAAAGTAGCTTCCATTGTCGCCCAAGGGCCTCTGGCAGCTTAGAGCTGCTAAAAGCCATGGGTCTCGAAGCTGAGTTTAGGGGGTTTTGGGGTTTAGGGGTTTAAGGGTTAGCTAGGGTTAGGGGTTGTAGGGTTAGGGGTTTTAGGGTTTGGGGGTTTTAGGGTTTTTGGGTTTAGGGGTTTTAGGGTTAGGGTTTTAGGGTTAGGAGTTTTAGGGTTTAGGTGCTTTAGGGTCAGGCGGTTTTAGGCTTTAGGGGTTTTGGGGTTTAGGGTGTAGCCCCTACCCCCCCGCCCTAGTTTGCCCATTATTCAAGCTTGTTTAGGGATTCTGATTTGTTGGGGGGAACCCACAGAGGAAGGCTCACAGAGGAACCCATAAGTTGAGGGTCAAGAGGAGGGCTACGTGTAAAAGGAGATGTACTGTAAAGGGATCCAGCGGGAATTTGTAGTTGTTGTACAAACATATAGGGACGTATAGCTTGGGCTTCAGTCATGAAATCTATACTTAGGTTGACAGTTTTTTTGAGGGCTCCAAGGCTCAAGCGCTCAAGATACGGGACAAGAAAGGTAGGGTTGCAATAGGACAATGCCGGATCCTGATTAGTGTGCCCCCCCCTCCAAACAAAAAGGGGAGCCGCTACGATAAAAAGGCCTCAAAACGAATTGGGGGTCTGGGGGATCCCATGGCTCCTCTTCAAATCAATAAAGGAAGAGAGATCCTTCGGCTTCTATTGAGTTGAATAAGGGAGGGGGGGGGTCAGAACAATTCTAGAATCGATTTCGGAAGCTATGGCTCCTATTAGAATCAATAACGACAGAAGGATCCTTTGGCTTCAATCAAATTCATAAGGACTTGCTCAGTTTAGCTTTCAAGAGAATAGGAAGGGCAGGGTCCTCGGCCTTCATAACAAAAGGGCTGGCCTTGAAAACAATCTTCAGACATCTCTCTAAAATCAACTAGAAATCGATTTTATGCCATTTACAAACAATTAAAAAACTAATTAGAATGGCTTCACCACTACACCGGCCGAAAAACCTTTACATTATTGAGCCCCCCCAAATCATTTATATTATTGAGGATCAGGGGCTCTGCAGGACTACCCCCCTTGGAATTTGATTGCCTAGCCTGTTCGAATAAGCAGTTTAATAAGAAATCGACTGTTTTGGTGGCGTTCATGTCCAGATTCGCGAGGTATTCGAGCCTGGCCTTCTGTTTAAACCCAAGCCTTTTAAATCTAATAGTTTTTTTGGTCTCACAGCTACCCCGACCAAAAAACCTTTACACTATAGAGCCCACCCAAAATCATTCACATTGTTGAGGGTCAGGGGCTCTGCTGGACTAATCCCTTTGGAATTTGATTGCCTGGCCTGTTCGAATAAGCGGTGTAATAAGAAAATTGGTTGTTTTTGGTGGCATCAATTTCCAGATTGGAGAGGCAATAGAGCCTGTTCTTTTCACGTAAAGGCCTGTCTTTAAAGCTAAAAAGCATTTTGGCTCATCAAAATTTTCTAAATTTTTCTGGCCGATTTTTTTTTACTTTATTGAGACCACCCAAATCGAATAGGGGGTCCAGAATAATTGTCGAGAAACTTTACTTCATTGGGGACCCCTGCGCTAATCGGGATTCGACATAAATTATTGTCGTTATTTGTAGCATGACCGTCAGGCTTTTATGAGTATCAGTGTTGCTAGTACCATGTGTTTTACGAAAGGGCCCCAGGCTGTCTGGTGGTGTTGTGTGCTTACCGCTTCAGCCATGAGAAAGACAGCAGTTTGCACGCGTTTCGCAAGTAGAGACAACAAGATTCTGAAAGCCAGGTTCATTGTTCAAGTGTAGCGCTGTCGGTTCTATAGTTCTTGCTCAATTCAGCTCAGGTGCATGCGGTGGCAAGACTCCAGCAGCGCGAAGCCACAGTCACTCGCTTCGCAGCAAGTGCTGCGCTTTGTGGTGTGTGTGTGTGTGTGTGTGTGTGTGCCTTTTCCTCCCTCTCTCTCCCCCTATCTCTCTCTCTCTCTCTCTCTCTCTTTGTTTGTGTCTCACGTGCTTGGAAGTACTCTCATGGTACCGCTTTGAAACAAGCTGTGCTGCCCTGGACGACATGCTGGCAGTCTATGTAACAGGAACGGCTTGTCCCGTGCTTCAGCTGACAACGTCGCAAAACATGCCTGTCTGCCAAGCTCGATTGTACTGTAGTTTCGGCCGTAATTGCAATTTTGAATGTGATGCTGCAGGCCTGCACGTTCCCCAGGACGACAAAGCCCAGGCAGGAGCTCTATTCAGTTCTATTTGTGACTAGCCCTGGAATTGTGCGTTCCGGTGCTGCCATGCTTCCTCGGTCTAGTGAGACAATGTGCAAGTTGACCCCAGCATAGTGCAGACTTGAAGAATTGAGTCGTGGGCCCTCTATTTGTGGCAGGTCAATGGAGGCTACCCAAGTGTCGCTCAGCAAATTATGGTCTGCAATCGAATTCTGAGCTGCTTATGTTCAGTGTGTGGTGGTTTATCAAATCAAAATCAAAATCAGTCAGCCTGAACGACCACTGATCTGAGTACGCAACCATTTACTGGTACTGCACCTGCCATGCCTTTGATGTAAAACTAAGCTTGGTGCATTAGCAGCTTTGCTGAGGACAGCGGCACAGGGTCCACCAACTCCAAACAGATGAAGGACCCAGTTGTTCACCTGGATGAGTGATACTTCTGCTCTTGTGAAGGGAGGGCGTGCAGGCTTTTAGAGGATGTGCTGAAAATTCTTTAAACGCTTTCTTTCAGAGCCGGTACGAAGCGCTGAAGTCATTGAGGGGTACTGGTCGCATCTGACTCAGCATATAGAGATTATATACACATATACATATGTATACACACATGTTAACTTCTGTTGCGGGAGTTAGGCATGCATCGGATCCTGTGGAATATCTGATAGATGCAGGGTCGCTGTCTTCGATGGTTGCTTCTTACTGTAGGAAAGCAACGGGTGACAGGTGCGGGAGCACTGAGCCTTAGCCGTTGCTCCCGACACCGATTTCCCATTACTTCCTCCGAGCGGCCGTGAATCTGAGTAGTGGTGTGCAGGCCGACGGCATCAACCGCAAGCAGTTCATCTTGAGCAACCCTGGCAAGATCACGGACTTTTACAAGTGTCTCGACGAATGTTTCCAATGAAGCCAGGTGCTGTCTAGCTGCTTTGAGACTGGGACACGCCTCGCTGCTCAGGATGGCAAACAAGGTGGGCGAGGGCACCTATGGCTCCGTGTCTGTTGCCATACACCACCACTCCCACGTGGAGCGTGCCGTCAAAGTCATGTCCAAAGGCTCCATGACGTGCAGTAGTCATGGCGTTGCGCAGGTCCTTGAGAGCAGGATTTTTTCGCTTTTTTAGATGAGGCGAAGTTGAGAGGTGAGTGAGGTGGTAGCAGCTCAGCAAGCCGGATCCATCACTGGCGACCTCTGGTGATCAAAGGCAACATCAAGCACGTCCAGCGCTTCATGCAGGTGCGAGCATGTTTTAGAATATTAATAGTCACATTTAGTAGTAGTCGAAATCAGCGTAGTAAAGCTAGCTATGATTTTCATAACAATGGTTATGATTGCGATTCATAAGAACAGTTTTAATAAGTATAATCGTTATCACTGTTGGGCTGGCCAACAATCTACGTGGCCAGCACGTGCCTTCAAGCATCCACTCCTACTGGGGGACTTGGTAAGCAGGCTTGTGATTCTATAGCCCATACAATAACCCTAACTATCCCCATGATTAACCTACTTTCTAAGTCTCCCTGACCCTGCAAGTAGGGGTGATCCTCACAAGCTTTCTAGGATTTAGACGTGTCACCGGTAGATCATCTAGCTGTTCTTATTGTGAAATCATAGACAAGTTGGTGAGGCAGATCAGAAGCCTTGGGTGAGAGAAGGTTCGCCCTTCAGAGGCTACGGAGTCAATCTTGTGCGCAGGAGATTGCCATCATGAAGTCCATGGATCACCCGAACATTATCAAGCTTTTCGAGACATTTGAGGCCAGAAGCAAGATCCGGCTTCCGCAGATGCAAGTTGAAGCTACCTCGCAGGGACTGTGAACTTCTAGAGGGTGAGTGGAATGGGAGTCGGGGCTCGGAATATCCACCCTGTAGAGCGCGAAGCAGACATGGTCAGGACAGAAAGCAAATTTTCCTGGTCATGGAGTACTGCTCTGGAGGCCGCCGTGTAATCCACAGTCATGGGTCAGGGGATAAGACTCTGGCTTTGGGTGGATGTTGTGCCGTGTCACTTCAAGAGTGTGTTTTTGGGCAATTTTGGTTGCAGGCAGGCATCTGGAGGAGATCACTGGTAATTGCAGAAGAACGAGCGGGCGAGGGCAGATTTCAAATCTCCAGCCAGCCAGAAACCCTAAATGCTATAGTATGTTGTTTCCATTTTCATTTCCATTCCTCCATATTTCCCCATAGAGTCCCCGTAAAGGGATGAGAAACCCAGGCTCCCATTCGCTTTTTGGATACCAGCAGTCGGGCCAAGACTGCCACCAACCCCCATCAATCGCAGCTACCTGTGCTCTCCACTCTTGAAGGTATAGCACCCTTTGCCCACCAGTATGGTAATACTGATTTCCGCTGTTTGCCAGTGAGCCCATGCCGCTTTTGTTGCAAAGGCGAACTCTTTGACCGCATCATCGAGGCCGGCCACTTCACCGAGAAGGCCGGGAAGCCTTGAGGTCTTGAGGGGTCCCTGGAAGGTACAGCAAGAAGAAGTCGAAGTAAGTTCTTTGCCGGAGCAGCCTTCAGCTCTAGGTCGGGTCTATTGAGGGTCTAGGAAGTTGTCAAAACCCACTTGCATGCAGGACTGTGCCATTGTGGTACAGCAGATGCTGTCCGCTGTGCTGCTCCTTGCCAGCACTACCGTAAGTCTTGTTTGCGCCACTGTGCTTCCGTATTGAGGCTTTGCAGGTCGGCAATCGTTGGGAAGCGCTGGGCTTGAGGGAAGTTTATTTCTTGGTGCTGACAATGAACCGTCAGTAGCGTTACGCTAGGTGGTTGGATTCCAGATTTTGAGATCCTTGTACCGGCGAGACCGGCAGAGCCTTGAGCTCGCCATCACTAAGGTACATGCACACCAGCGGCGTGTGCCACCGAGATCTCAAGCCAGAGAATTTCCTCTTCTTGACAAAAGGTGGGTTGCTATGGGGCTGCTACTCTAGGTCTGTAGCTTGGGAGGCACCCGGAAGCTGCACAAGTCTGACAGACTTATTCTCTAAAGTTTTAATTCAGTCCTGGTCTAGAAAAATCGTGTGTGCAGCTTGAAGCAGCCTAGCATCAACCATCTTCAGGATCACCACGTTTCCAGGTCTAGAGTCTACCAAACAATCCCTTTGTTACATACTGCTTGCGTTAGCTGCATGTCGTCCTACTGCAGCCTTTGCTGCGACAATCGCCAAGCCAGAGCTATTGCTGGCAGGTCCCATTGACAAGAACGTGCTGAAGATTATCGACTTCGGCTTGTCCAAAGCTTTCGAAGAGGGCGTCAACATGACCACGAAGGCTTCCGGCAACAAGTGATGGATCCGGAATTGAACAAGGAAAGCCAGAACATTGCGAGCTGTTTATTACGAAGTTGCAACATAGGATGGCATGGGTGACATGAAGGGAAGCCTCTACTAGCTGCTTTCTAGACATGACCGCTTGCAGAATATCTTGTCCGAATGTGTGTCGCAAGCCCCTTCTGAGAGCAGACTCTATGAATCGCTTGGTACCATTATACTTCTGGGACATGTACAGGCCGGAACTCCGTACTATGTGGCGCCGCAGGTTCTCCAGGGCCGGTGCGCCGGGGCTTCCTGGGGAAAGGCAACGTTCTAACCTAGCAAAAAGAAAACGAGAATGAATGCGCACGGCGCAAGGTTGCGAGGTGATGCTGCTCTGTGCAGCAAAGAGCACATGTCGGGTACAGAGCCATTTGAGTTTCTGCGTTAGGGGCGTCCGAGTATCTGGTACCTTGAGACCAGCTGCCGCCATTTTCGGTGGACTGTTTTGCAAAAACAGGTACGACAAATCGTGTGACATCTGGAGCTGCGGCGTCATCATGTACACAATGCGGCTCTGCTTTTGATGGCGTCTTTACGCTTAGAATTCCAAGTCCCGCGGCAATTTCAACAATCACATTCGGAAAGCCCTTGCCGTCCTGCAAGTGCCCTGAGATGATGACCAGGTGTTGAGAACAAAAGTGTTTCCACTGTAGCAGCAACTTCGGCAATGAAAGGTGAGTTTTTCCAGAGTGCTCCACCCAGCAGAGAATGCCTCTAGCCAACCCATTGCCCAAGCAGCACTTCACACGAGGGTTAGTACGCTACCTCTTCAGGTTATTGTTACTATTCAAGCTTCCTACTGGTTGTGACGTTCGTGCTGAAAACTACGGCTGTGGATGCCATCACGGCAAAGGTTCTCGTTTCACTGTGGCAACATCCTTGCATTAACCTATTATCCGCTTGCTGCCAATGCTGGGATACTGCGTGGTTTTTGCATTTTTGTGCAGTATCAGCGCTGTATCCTTACATAGGCCAGGGCCTTCAAGGAAAGTGCACATGTACAACACTGAATTGACTAGCTTCAAAATAATGTTCACGCGATGCACAGATGTACCCAGGCTGTGTGGGTATCCTCCCTTCTACGGGAAGACAGACCAGGAGGCCCGGTTCTGGGCGCTTCGAGATGTGCAGTTGTATGCGCTGGAGCCAGGTCGGCTGTACGAAAATGATATAAGCCAGTCATTTCCCTGTTATCACTAAAGACCGCTGAATAGACAGATAACAAACTCAGAGGCTACACCAGGGAGACCACTTTGTTTAACCCCCCCCCCCAAAGCCAAAGCAAGTCTGGCCGGAAATGGGGTCTCCTTTACCTGCTAGAGTTGTGTGTTTGAGAGGCTTTTGGAACGTATTTTCTACTGAACAACCAAACCAAAGTAACAATTAGGCTTTGCTAGGTTTTCCAGTTGTTCCCAGGATTTGGTACAAGCGAGCGAAAGTGATTGATGAATTGAAAGAGATCTGACTAGTCAAGTAGGTTGGAAGCTACCCGCCTGTCCTCAAAAATATGATATATTCACACCTGGCCTGAACTGTAATTTCTGAATATCTACTACTATTGAAGTGATTTTTATGGAAATGCTCAGACAAGGCCTGAGTTTTCTTCCATTATGAAAAACAACCTTGTCTCATGAACTGGCCGATGAGTTCAGAAAACGAGGTGACCCCAATTACTTTGCGAGGTGAAAAACATCGGTTCACTGACTACATGATTAGTCATGCCTCTTTGGATTCATCAATTAGCTTGTAAGTTCTTAGAAATCACTTTGCTGACCATCCCCTCTTTTACGAAGCCATCGGCAGAATGGCTGCTTGGCAGGTCTTGAGCAAGGTCAGAAAAGGCGCCTACACATTTGACAGCAAAGACTGGAAGTTTGTCTCTGAGGCCGGGCTCAATGAGCTGCTCAACGTGGGGATGGTCATGCATCCATATAGTGTTAGTATATGGGTCATGGGGTTTACTAACCTGCTTACTAAGCCCCCCTGGCTCTCCAAGCAGGGTTTGGATGAGCTGAGTGGTTTGGGTGTGAAGGTTCAGGATTCGGAGCCCTTGGGCCAGGCAGGGTTCAGGGTTTAGAGTTTATGGTTTAGGGTTTAGGGTAATTTTTGGGGTAAAACGTGATGAGCAGCCGAGGATGTCTTGTATGAACATCTCATACTCAATAGTAGTCAAACTAGTATAGAATAGTAGTCCAATTGTGAAAGAGACTTGGGCTCAGATGCTGAAATGTCAGTGTTCCCCTTGGTTGTACTGGTTCACATTGTATCCAAGTGCTTGTTGATCTCTGCTGGACCTTTAGGCTTTAGGCTTGCAACCAGTGCTGTAATCGGCTGATTCAAATGGACAAGGAGGACCCATCTTGCAGCCGGAGCACCGACAAACAAATCTCCAGTTCAACAGCCCTGTAATCTCCAGTTCATTGCGGCATTGACCTTTGCGGTGTTCATGCGCTGCTCAACGCGCTGTCGTTGCGAAAGTCCTTTGCTTTTTTAGGATGCGGAAAGCCTTTAAATTTGTGATTTTGGCTCCTTGGCAGGACGCAAAAAAGCTCATCAACCAGCTGCTGAAGTTGGATCCAGAGCAGAGATACACGTCCAAGCAGGTGCAGCCCTTGGCCCGACCTTCAACCAGTAGTCTTTGAAAAGAGCGGACGGTAGGGTACATTGAGGAGTGAAAGCACTGTTACCGATTCGTAGCAAACAGTTCTGAGGAGCATTCCCGTTGATATTTGACTTGAACAGAGCTGAAGTGCCCAAGCCTGAAATGATAAGAGAAGTCACGGTATCCTGATGCATGTGCGCTGGAATGGCAATAACTTCTGACTAGGAACAGGCCCTGTCAGGTGTCAATCATTCGTGTCTGAGCCTGTGCTGTTGGGCCAGTACATTTGTGCTTCGCGCTAACCACACTTTCTTACTTCCCCGATGAGGCGTTAGCAGACCCCTGGATCGAGCAGCGAGCGCCGCGGGCGTCCAATGTGTCCCTGCAGGGCTACTGGGCAGCAAGCATGCGCACTGTCACAGAGTTTGCTGGTGCAAGGGCGGCCTGTGGACCACTGGCACTGACTTTGCAAGAAATAATTCATCGAACGTCATGCATGTAGACTGGCAGTCTCAAGTGGCAAGCAAGGCAAGGAGGCAACGATAGGCAGTTGGCTTGGCTCTTCGTGGAAGTAGCTACTGATCAGCTTCTGCATAGCCAGTCAGAACCGTGGAATCTTTATCAGTTGCCACTGCGCAAGACTCAGACTGAGCCCGCTGAGGCGATCAGCTCTTGAACCTCCGATCGTTCAGGCGGCCACGGCTGGATTGACAAAGACTTCTATCATGAAATTAAAGATTGGATTAAAGGGTAAAGCTCCACTCAGAATGCTAGGCCAGCAGTATTAACGATTTTGATGAATGTGAATGAGTCTGATCAGCGGTCGAGGGCTGCTATTGCCCGCACGTCCGACCCGAGACCAAAGGTCGCAAAACCGGCTGAAGAAGGCCGCTCTGAACATCATCGCAGGACTCTCGCAGCTTTCAGTGGCCAGGGTGTAGGTATCGTTTGAGGAGCTTAGGGGTCGCTTGGGACAGAAATTTGGCTTGAGAGGACGAGGCCTACAGAGTCCCCGGCAATGGTCAACGAGAGAAGGCACATTCAAAATGGTGATCGTGATCACAGACCCCAGTCACTGGTACTGGACCTCCTAGCCGAGGCTTCTTCACAGTGAAATCCTCGATTATCAGTACTATAGTGCAGCTGTTTTTAAGTTGAAGCCCTGGGTGCCTACCGGGAGCCCTGCAGAGGTTGTAGAGGCGAGATGAGAGGAAAAACTGGACTTCATAAGTTTATGGGCCAACACTATCCAGGATCATCCAGCAAGACCGCCTGACCCAGGCACAGCACTTGGAGATTGTTTTGCGTATGCTACTTTGTGAAGGCTGAGCGCTAGTAAGCCGCTAGTAGGGACTTTCAAGTTTGCGTTTCGTGCTGCAGGACAGATGAACGAGTCGCAGATCTCAGACTTGAGGCCCCGATCCTAAAGCACGGGGTGGTTACAAAACCCCATGATCAAGGCACACAACAGTGCCGATTGTGACGTTGCAGCAACTTCATAGCATTCAGATACTTAGTGGAAATGCGAGCTGTTTCTGGTGATGCTGCTGAATCATTTGTGTTCCCATGACGCATCTGCACATTTTGGTTGTTTCTGGTGCTATGCCATCTGCAATGCTCGTCATCCCCCTCTTCCTCTTGCTCCTCTCTCTTCGTGCTGCAGTGCTCCTTGCTGTGTTGATGGCCACTGTTCTGCGATCTCAAGTTTCATGAGATCTCAAAGCTCGTGCTTCATTTGCTTTGGGACTCTGGCTACATGGCGCGACGCTCTCTGCATAGTTATGCAAAAAAGCATGCAGGACCTTTGAGCCTTACATCAAGGGCACCTGGCTCACTCTCTCTACACATGTGTCCATATATATATATACATA